CAAGTCTCCTGCCTCCGCCTCCCAAGTAGCTGGGACCACAGGCGCCCGCCACAACGCCCGGCTATTTTTTTTTGGTTGCAGCTGTCATTGTTGTTTGGCAGGCCCAGGCTGGATTTGAACCTGCCACCTTGGGTGTACGTGGCTGGCGCCTTAGCCACTTGAACCACAGGCGCCGAGCCTGGCTTTGAATTCTTATTAAGTCTGCATCACCTGAAGTAATTTTTTTCTTCCTTCATGTGGTGAATTCCACTCTTAAATTTCCTAATATGGTTCTCAAATTTGGCTGCAAATTAGAATCACTTGGGGATCTTTAAAAAATACTGGTGCTTAGCTTGGCGTCTATAGCTCAAGCTGCTAAGGCTCCAGCCACATACACCAGAGCTGGCGGGTTCAAATCCAGCCTGGGCCTGCCAAGCAACAATGACAACTACAACCAAAAAATAGCTAGGGATTGTGGCAGGCGCCTGTAGTCCCAGCTACATGGGAGGTTGAGGCAAGAGAATCGCTTATGCCCATGAGTTGGAGGTTGCCATGAGCTGTGATGCTACGGCATTCTACCCAGAGCTTGAGGCTCTGTTTCAAAAAAAAGAAAAAAATACTGGTGCCTACCTTCTACCCCCAGAGATTCTGCCTTAAGTGGTCGGGGGTGCAGCATGGGCTTTTGGATGTTTATAAGTTTGTCTGAATGATCTCAGTGTGCAGCTGAGTTTGAGAACCACTGTTCTCTTTAAGCCATTCATGAGTTCTTAGGATTGGTCCTCCTTGAATGTGTGTTTTGTTTTGGTTTGGTTTTTTTGTAAACTCCATTTCTGGTTTGGATTATAAATTTTTTAAAAGATTTTTACCTCCATTTTCCTGATATTTTAACTGCTAATTTTCTATTTTGAGTTGGTTTCAGTAATTTATGTGTTTTTATAAAATTGCCCTTTTCCCGGTTTTCAAATTCAAAATAGTTCTTTACTCAAGGATTCATAGTTGTAAGGAAGCTGCAAGCCTAGTGAGTTTCTGTGTTTATTAAATGACTTGCTTTTTTCTAAACAGGTGATCTGTGTCCATGATGTCTCATCTATTTACCGAGTCCCCTTATTGTTAGAGGAGCAAGGGGTCGTAGATTATTTTCTTCGAAGACTGGACCTTCCTATTGAGAGGCAGCCACGAAAAATGCTGATGAAGTGGAAAGAGATGGCCGACAGGTTTGTGATGCCACAAGGAGCTAGGAGAGTCAGCCTTCTTTTTCCCTTTTCCCTGTGCTCAGGGGTCCAACTCTTACTGTAGCACTTTAGCACTTCTGCTGTTGACTCTGTTAGAAAACTCTTGATGGTAAGACATATTCAGAGTTTTTAAGAAAAGATCTTAGCTGTCATGGCGCTGCAGTGTGAATGAGGAGGTCCTGCTAGGACCGGGCTAGTGCTGGACCTCTAGGGAGTAAGTTCAGGTTAAGTCCTATGTGCTCATCTCTTAGTGACTAGAAGATCAGTGTAAACAGGCATCCTAGTGGCAGCAGGTGAGTGCACACACCTGATGCCCACATAGCCAGCTGACCATAGTTGGAGCACTCCTAGATGTCTGAGCTGCATTTGGGAATGTGCTGCCCACCCTGCACCAGAAAGGGATCAGTGGGGATGTATTGCTGCTAAATTCAGTGTTTCAAGGATGGCCCCATGCTGCTGCCTCTTAAAGCCCTGTGATGCTTCACATCACTTCCAGAGAGCTTCACTTGGTGTCTCAGAGCAGTGGTTGGGCCTGACTGCAGTAGCAACATCAGTGTGATGAGATCTGGCTCGTTGGGGAGGGAGCACTCATTCCATTGCTTTTGCTACTGACTTTGTTTTTGACATTTTCACTTTAGTCTTTGTCCATTTACACATAGCTACCAAAATGGCACATAGTGTTATGATCTTTCTTTTTATAAAACATTATAAGCATTTTGCTTGGTTAATAATTGTACTCTACAATGAAATTTTTTAATGAGCATGGGACTTTTTTATTGCAAATGCCCGAAGATTTGACTCTTCCTTTCATAACATTAACTCTTGTGAATTGTCTGTTAATACCAGTAAATTTTTCTCATCATTTTGTATTTTTTTTTTTTATTGAATGGTAACTGTGTACATTAATGCACTTCTGGGGTACAGTATGGTGTTTTCACACACAATCTGAAACACTTCCATCAAACTGGTTAACATAGCCTTCATGTCATTGTATTTTTTTAAAAAAGGGGGTTTTTTGTAAGCAGATTTGTCTGAGATTTTGCAACTATCTCTTTGTTAACAGCTTTTATTTTATTTATTTATTTATTTTTTGAGACAGAGCCTTAAGCTGTCCCCCTGGGTAAAGTGCTGTGGCATCACAGCTCAC